TACGAGAGTCAAGTTTGCTGGCAAACCGGGCCAGACCACGAGGCTCAACCCCCCCCCCACAGCTCTCGGGGTACCGCTGACCACCTGGTGGCAGGTAGCTCCATAGCAGCAGCATGCACACACAGACACAGCTGATTATAGACAGATGGGCTAACTACCACACAGTCAAAGCAGATCTCTCTCCTTCTGGCATCGGACAGCTAATCCACAAGTCAGCTTGCAGCACACACACACACACACACACACACACACACACACACACAGACGTACACCCGGTTAGCTCTGCTCCACTGAAACTACCCCCAGAACTGCCATCATTACTTTATGTAAGTCCACAGAAAACTAGCAGGTGCTGCGAAATACCCACAACAGCAGCATTTTTAGATTTAAAGCTTTATTCTCATTCGCAGCACGACGTTACGACGGCGACGCAAGAGCAGCGAGACACAAATTGCGCGGCGTTATTGTGTAACAACAAGCTGATGACTGATCCGTGTTTACATTTGAAGCCCGTCCACTAACAGCTCCCACTAATGGTGAGTGGCGTCTCATTCCAGCACAGCGGTGCCAGGAAAATATCCCTCTCTGCAGACTGCTGCTCTGATTGATTAGGGAGTGGCCGGGCAAATCTGGAATACAGTACACGCCGATCAGCCACAACATTAAAACCTCGTAGTGTCTCCTGACGCCAAAACAGCTCTGACCCGTCGAGGCTGTTCTGTGGTATCAGGCCCGGAGACGTTAGCAGTCCTCTGTGGATCAGATTAGTTTGTCCGGTTCATCCCAAAGAGTGTTCAGACACCTCTCTATCATATAATACAGCCAGCATCAATAATAATAACTGGTATGTTGTAGGTTTGTATAGCACCCTGTAAGTAAATAGACAACTAACAAAAGCAAACTGAAACCAATCAGAACCAGATTTATTGCCACGTGTGGTTTACACAATACGGGGAATTTGTTCTGGTGGGTTGGTGCAACGATAAATATACAGTAAGGTGCAATGTGCAAGATGCAAATATAAAAATAAAAACAACTGTAGTAGTGCAAAGCAGAAGCAAAATATACTGTGCAGTGAAGAATGAAGTTTAAATAAGAACCTTAGAAGTGTAGTTATTTACAAGAATATTGAGGGTGCAGATATATGGATATTTACATTTGTGCAGATTGTCAAAAGAGTTGAAGGTGTGGAGGTGCAACACGACCAATAACAGTGAGGATAATAATAAATATGCTCCCAAACATGCCTTATAAACACGATAAAATACTAAAGTCAAGTCAACGTTTTGTATAAAGTACACTGAAGACAAAGTACGTCAAAGTGTTTCCCAGTAAAAAAAAAAAAACAAAAACACTATGATTGGCGTTACAGAAGTAAAGTTAAGACTCTTTAGTGTTCCTGTGTTGTGTTATTAACTGAGTAATTTAAACATTAGATACTGAAACCCTACAAAAATACAAAAAGGACATACGATGCTACTTAATCTGACTAAAACACATTCAAGGCTGAGAACCTACAGCGTTATTAATTATGCAGAATAACCTGTAATGATATAGCTACGACCCCACAGCATTAGAACGTAACCTAACTAATATAAATATTATGGCTCAGACCCTACAGCACCATTAACTCTGGAGATTAACCTGACTCATTTAAAGTTTGGACCCAAGAAAAATACACATGAAAACTCAAACCCAAGGATTCCCCGGATCCCCTGTGAGCCAGCTTTGTTTGTGGTTTTATTTAGCATGGCTTGTTTTGTGTTTCGAGGTGTGATGAGGTTTGTACGACAGCAGCATCAGTAATTCTCGGGTTCATCGGTTCTCCTTCCTTGGACCACCGTTGATCAGTACCAGAACCGCTGTACATCCAGAATACTGAGAGATGTTCCCAGTCATCTTAGCATCACTCACGATCCTCGCGTTTGCCCATTTTTTAAACATCCAACACATCAATTTCAAGAACCGACTGTTCATTAGCTGCCAGGAAAAGCTGAGAGTAGTTTTAATGTTGTGGCTGATCGGCACATCCTATTCATACAGACTCTACTAATTCAAGATGCATATTTAAGTTAAGAAAGTCGGATGAGACAGAAAACCAGAAAGGCAGAGGTGTAATCTGTGTGAGAGGCAGAAAGGAGAGGGGTTTAAGTGTTAATAATTACCTTTATTATGTCTAAAGCACACGTACCGACAAAGGTTTGTTGTCTTTTTTTTCTGTACACGTGTGGGTGTTTGTGTGTGTTATAAACAAAAAAACAAAAAAACCTTGTAGTAAACTATATATCCTGAGTATTTAGTTAGCAATCTCTTATCTTTAGGCAGGTATGTTTTAAAGAGCACACAACAACAAAGCTAATCTGTGGATATACATGTTGGAAACCTGAGAAATATTACAGATACACCTCCTAAAGGGCAATCAGTATTTATCGCTAACATAATCTTCTCTATCAAAGCAAAGTATTTAGATTCACTAATGTTTCAAAAGCAAAAAGTCAAATGTGATGCAGTGACTCAAACATTTTCAGTTCTGTAATCATAAACGGTCTAAAGCTGAATAAAGATCAAATACATTCTGTTAGATCCTGATGCAGCTTACTCCATTATTCATTTAACAGCGACAGCAGCAAACTGCAATATCTTGATATGAGGCCTTTAATTTGATATTATTACAAAGACAACTGAATTGATTGTTGAATTACCGCCCGGCTTGTTTTGCACAGCGGCCGGCTGCTAGCTAGGGAAGGAGGCAGGCGTGCATGCATGAGCTAGCTTCTTTGGCTGCTTGGCAATGCAATCCCCGAGCTTTTGAAAGCAGATAAAGCCAAGAGCGGGGCGGAGAGCTGAAGCAGCTGCAGCCACCGAGAAAGACGGGAGGAAAGACAGCGGAGCAGCACCTGTTCCACACAGATGTGACGTCGAATCGATCATCTCTCATGCCGGCATCGCAGCTATTCACGGAGGCGGCGCTGTCAGCCTGTTAGAGCGAGCTGATAATGGCCTCCAAAGGTCATCCCTCCGA